ACTGTAAAGCTTTTTGTATATAAATATATAGAACAGAGTTTGGAGCTCCTTGTGCAAGCTACAGATGGTACAAATACAACACTATCACCTTACTTGCTTACTAAAAATTGTTCCCTGATTCCACTGCGATTTCTACTGATTTCAAAGGAGCCCATCTTTCAGGCAGATGAAAGACCTGTAAGTCACCTGGGTCATGACAGAATTATGCTGCCCAAAACCCTCTTCTGGAGGGTAATAGGGAAGTATGGGACTGCATGGTGTTACTGTGCTATGTTTCACATAACTCAGTAAGATTCCTGCCACATGAGTCCTATAAATGTCATTGCAAAGTTATGTGACTAAATCCTCCTGCAAAGGCTTCAAAATTTACTAATTTTATGTTGTGGTTTAACTGGGTGTTTATAGATAATGTGAGAAAGACTGCTTCATAAAGTAACCCAACCTTTGTGAAGTGTTACAGCACAAGCAGAGCTGTCACAACACTGCTGTGACAAATCAAAGCCTAATGAGCAAATGAAAGTATTACAGGTATGTCCCAAACCAGGGTAACTCATTATTATAGCTATCCAGCTTACACAGTTAGGAGTGCTCTGTCCCTGTTTCCCAGGTTAAAATGACATTTTTTTTTCCATTTCCTTAGAGCCAACACTGCACTCGAACAGTAATATCCATATCTCATCTGCTGTCAGAGTGGGCTGCATTCTGCTAGACTGTCTGTACCTGCTCTGCTCGGGTGGCACTGAAAGCAAGTTGGAATTGCTCTCTGCTGGTTTTCCCTCCCCAGACTGCTGTGGAGATCAGGTTGAGCTGCCCCACAGCTGAATGGACTGCAGCGTGAGGGGTGAGTGAATGTCATGCAAGCTGTCCTGGCTTGGATGCACATGTGCTTGCTGTGACATTGCAGCCTCTCTCTTTTTCACTTCTTCCATTCCTCTTAAGTCCAGCTGGTCTGAAGACAGACTATTAAAAAGGACTGGTCTTCCAACAGACCATACCTTTGTGCAAGAAATGCTACAATTCTCTAGATGGGAGTTCAGATCCAGTTTTGTCTGAGTAATCAATACAGAGGTAGTCTAGCCTTGCTTAAGGTGCACATCCGGTAATAGACTGAGAGGGAAAGACACACTCATTGGCAAGAGAGGTGGCATGGGCCTGAGGTGGGGTTGGTAAGGGATGTACATGTTTGAGGTACCACATACATACAGTGTGGATGATGACGTGACGAAAACTTTTTCCCTTATAGATCTGAGGTGTTTGCAAAGGGATTGTTAGATAAACTCCTTCCTATTGCCCATAACTGTGTGTAATCATCCGGCTACTAAGTAAAAAATTTTTGTCTGCTCATTTTGTCTGCTATTTCGCAGATTATTTATTCTTTCCCCAGACCATCATTTTCTGTTGCTCAGCATCTTGTGTAAAAAGCAGAAAGGAAATTCTACCAAATCTTGATGTATCCCCTTTTGCAACAAGAGAAGAGAAACAAAGAGAAGAGGAGGTGCAAAGCCTCCCAGTTGGAAATGATGTTTCCTCTAATTCAAGCCTGATTTTGGAAGCATTGGAAGTTCAACCATTCACCTGTAATTGAGAAACTCAATTTCTTTAATGAAAAAGACCTAATTGTGGCTTTCCAAGTATATGAAGCGAGCCTACAAGAAACATGGAGAGGGACTTCTGACAAGGGCTTGTAGTGACAGGACAAGGGAGAATGGATTCAAACTGAAACAGGGCAGGTTTAGATTATATATTAGGAAAAAATCCTTTACTGTGAGGGTGGTGAGGCACTGGCAAAAGTTGCTTAGAGTTTTTGTGGATACCCCATCCCTGGAAGTGTTCAAGGCCAAGCTGGATGGAGCTCTGAGCAACTTGTTCTAGTGAAAGGTATCCCTGTCCATGGCTGGGATGAAAGGTCAGACTGTGCCATCAGTTTGTAAGTAGATTTGGCTGTGGCCACTTTAACCTGCATTAGTAACAGAAAAGGCAGATTTAGTCTGATTTTAATAATCCTTAAAATTCATAAACAGAGGGGAAAGGAGTTTCGGCTATAGGTCAGTGAGGTCCATGATCCCAGGCACAGCTTAAGACTGCCCCAAAAGCTGTCCCTTTGACCAGAAAAAGGAAACAAGCTAACAAAAATATGTTTTATGTTTCGGAAGTTCAAAATCTCACTACTGTGGAAGCTTTTAACTTACCTTTTTGTTTCTAAATGCCAGCAGGCAGCCACAGCTATCAATTTCTTTGCATCCTATACAGTTGTATTATGTGTAATTAGAGGAGAGTGGCAGTTAAGGGGTTGGTTCTCCCCTGGGACACTTCAATGGGAGTACAGGCTCCCCTGATTTGTGTTTCATCCTTAATTGCTTTTGAAATTACTTTGATGTGTGCAAAACTATCTGTTTCATGTGTCATGGAATCATATTCTTGCTTCAATATATTGCTACTTATTTTTGGACATAGAGCAGTGAAGTTTTGCATACAGAGTTATCTTTCCAAAAGGAAAAGAAATAAAAAGAAATCTGTAAAACTACCTAGGGAATACATTTTTGCAGTTAGCAGCATGCAACTGAACTGCCATAGTGAAACAACAAAATAACTGTGCTATCATGGTTCTACTGATGGGTAAAAGAAGAAAATAATCTAAGAGCTCTGCCTTGCTATTCCTCATCAAACTTCTTTTAAACTAAAATAATTCATTTGGAATGATCTCAGTTATTGAGGTATGAAGCAGAGAGACCTATTTTTGGAAATTAAACAGTTAAAATGACCTGTGGATTGTCAATACAGTACACCTAAGCTTGCAGGTAATGAATCCCTGGGCACAGTCCTAGGCTTTTAGTACTTTTTGTACAGCAGGGTTTTTCTTGGGCTTAGGCTGTAGTCAGAGGGAATTCAAGATTGATTCCAGATGTTCTCCTTTTTGGACACCTGCAGTCCTGTGCTGTTAATTCTTGATATGGGAACAGGGAGGCTGTCATGGATGAGGTAAGACTACAGCACACTGTTGTGCTCCTCCACCTTGAATGATGTATTTCTGAACAGCCTCTTTCCTGGTGAATTGCCATACTGTAGGAACACTTATATCAGTGCCAAATGTAGAATCCCCACAGGGACTAGAACAGCATGGGAGTAATACCTAATTAAAACTGCAGTGAAGTAGGTCAGATAATATTTCACAAACAACAGCAAGTGTTCTGATTGTTAATAGTTTGGAGTCCCTGTATTTACTCTGAGCAACAAAAAAATGTATGTTGCCTAGAAATGCAATGAAAGTGCAAGCTGAAAACACTTGCCACGGTGGATTACAATTCTAAATATTCATGGTCTCCAATGGGTGCTGCACCTTAACTCTTGCCAGTATATTCAGCAGTGGATTAAGGTTGTTAGTCCCCTCTTTCCCCAAGATTGCAGGAGGATTGCCAAAACAGAGTGAAGTATTGCCAGGTGAAAGAGTAGATGAGAAAGCCCTGCTTTCAGTCACAAAAAATAAGACCATTGTAAGGAAACATAATCCCACTCTCAGATACCACAATTGCTCATAATGTTGTAGGACTATTTTCAGAAGTCCCAAATTCAGATTTCAGCCAAATCTTCTGGGTCTTACTGATCTGCGAATGTGAGATATGATCCTTTTCTCTGAGATTCATCACCTTTTTGACCTCATCTTAGGGTGGAAGTCGCGAGAAAAGTAGCAGCATTTTCAATTTTAGTGTGATAAACGAAGTTCAGTGACAGATGAAAATTTGTAATAATAGTATTCAAAATGTAAAAGTTTTTAAACTCTCAGAACAAACATTCTCTATTTGATTAATTGTGTCCTATGATTAACTAAACAAAGAAATGTCTAGAGGCTTCACACAGGCAGAGGACCCCATTAAGCTGGAATGTAGAAAGCACTTTGCATCTGACCATCTGTGTCTCAAACTCTTAAAATTTATCCAAAAGAGCTTCATATGAGAAGCAGGTTCCCTCACTTACAGCTGCTACTGTGAGCCCTTGTTTCAGAGAAGAGCCTTTTTTGAGCAGAGCACAAGTCTTTGATGTGAAAAAATGCCCTAAACATTTGTTTTCATTTATAAATACTAACAAATCAATCTAGGACAAGGCACCAGAAGTTCTATATATCAATTTTTATACATCTGTATACATATTCACAGGAAGCAGACAAGAGGCTTACACAGTCTGGATTTACCTCTGCCTTTTTAGCTGGGTAAGTAAGTAACTTAATTTCGTGGAGCTCTTACACGTAAGCGCAGTTCGTTCAGGAAGGACGTCCTTATGTTTTCTTTCCAGAAGGTTTTTAGGCCTCTCTGCAAACCTGGTGGTTTGGTTGAAATGTGAAGTTTTGGAGCCTGATGATCCTATCAGCCAACTGATTTTGTGGTTGGCTTGAAAAGTTTTTCTGAAACAAAAAAAAACCAAACAGACAAAAAAAAAATAAATAAAAGAGTTATCTTTGATAACATGAAGGCCTGACTTTGATCTCTCTCCTGCTAGGCACTTGATTGCTCTATTAAAATGATGCAGATTCTCTTTGGAAGTAAAGGAACATTGAATCTCAAAGAAGCCATGGCATGTTGGAGTTTGTTGCATTCTTGAAGTGAAAGGGGTCCTATATTTTACCAAATCCATGCCTTAGCCTGGAGTGACTCTGCTGATGTGACAGCTCTTGCATGGGGACTGAAACACCTAAGAAGTGTCATGAGGGTGTGTTTTAAGCTAAAAGCAATCAAAACGGCCTGTGCTGGGGGTGTACTCTTTCCCCTCCTCCCTGTATGAGTTGTAGATTTTCTTAGTGCTGATCTGATGGGCTGTTCTCTAAATCTGGTAGAATGAGTGGCACTTTATTACATTAGGTGATATAATTGAAGTAAATGTGGCATGAGTCATCCAAGTGGTTATATATGCAGAGGAGGAAGGCTTTAAAATTAAATCTATGAGGAAAGACCTACAAGGAATATAGGTGATTTCTTACACTGCTTTTCTTTATGTTGAGAAGCCCTTGCCAGGGAAAAGAGAATTTTACTAGAAATGAGCCAAGGGATTTGCCATCTCTTTCATGTCTTGAAGTTATAGGTTTAGGAACTCTCCATTCCTGCAATATGTGGTCTGCAAAATAAGGAAGTTCCTAATGAAGGAGGGGAAAGCAGTGTCTTTAGAGCTGGGTTAGATTACCTATCCAGGCAGAAGACTGAAATCTGCCCACACATGTAGAGACTGAGTTGTATTTGCTGTCAGAAAGTGGAAGCCATTTCTTCAGGACTGAAAGAAGTCCTTTATTTGTCAGGGACTGGCCCTGACCCTGCAAAACTTGTACAAGATTGCATATGTAGCAAGAGGCTGGATACAACTCCATAGACAACTTCTGCAGAAAAAAGACCTATTCTCTGAAATATGGTCAGGAGAGGCAGGAAGCATAAGCTAAATAACTCAGAACAAGCAGTTTCAGGTACTCAGAACAAGGAGTTTCAGGCAGGTACAAACACTGCAAACAGTTGAGTAGGTGGACATCTTGGGAGCGTTGGTAGTTTGGCAGCAGTTCAACAGGGATTTTTTGAATCACTCTTTGAATTTAGAAGCCTCAGTATACTTGTGTCCTCTTTTAGAAGATGAAGCCTTACAATGGACTTAGTCCTGAATCCCTCTGAGCTTTGACTCATCTTTAAAGTGATGACTACAATATGCCTGCTGCCGTGGCTGTAGTGTAGTGCAGGCAGGTGCTAGCACACAGCATTACTGGAACTCCAAATTGCTCATATAAATACCATAACAGTTCTTGCAGGATCTCACGGCTGAAGTATTTATATTTAGTTAAAATGACCCACATTTTAAGTGAACACGACTGAACTATTCACACACTAATGAGAAGAAATCACCTCGGCCAATCGCGGTATGCTAGCCATCGTGCCTGTTTTATAAATGAGATTAATGACTCAATTTGCAGTAAATGCTTCAGCAAGGAGAAACTTATTTTGCTATACTAATTGTGTCACATATGTGCCTCAAAACACCAACTGTGCAGAACTGGATTTCCCTGTGGTGCACAAGATGGCTGGCCTCAGTGGTTTTATTAATGCCGTTGCTCCGATTTCTTTGCTGCAACTGATCATTTTGATCTTTGTATTTAGTGCTGCAGCACAAATGCTGGTGATGGTAAAAATTATTGTGTAGTGTAATCCTCTCCATTAGTGAAAGGACAAGAGTCTCTCTCTACCATCAGCTGTTCAACATTTTTTTTTTCCCGGCTATCATGAATAAAACTCCTGATGTTATTTACTTAGGCTTTCAATTAGTTTTTAATTGTAATGAAATGATGAATAATTGCCAGAGCCTTTAATTTGCTCAGTAGTTACTGTGATTTTAATGGCTTTTTTAAAAACTTAAATGTTGTCCATTTATAGGGCACACTATATTGCTTTAAATGAGTAAATTAATTCAGAGTTTCATCAAATTAATCATTACACCTACTTTTGCATTTGTTCCCATGTTCCTAACAGGTTTGTTAATGTAAGTGTGAGAAAACAGGATTTACTGACCATGGACCATCATCCACAGTGGGTGTAAATTAACCTTGCCACACTGAAATCTGTAATTTGGTTTATACCAGCTAAAGCTCTGCCTCAATTTGTTCATTATCCATCCTTTTATTCTGTTTTTGATGTTGGATAAAATTGTCCTGACATTTTTCAATATTTTTAACCCATTGTAGTTTTGATGTCAGTGGAATTACTCGAAACTCACAGTGGGGCTAATAAGAGAATTGCATCTAAGGATAGCATGAAGGGATTTTCTTTCCAATGACAAATTCCCCTCCCAACTTTTGTATACAAATATATTTGCTGAGAAGTGTAGAGTACGTTTGAACAGTTTGTTTTCTGTAGAATTATCTTTATAAATCTGTTTCTATGCTTCATACTTTGTTAAATGTGCTTCAGACTTCAGCTGAAATAACTAGCAGTTACTAGATACAGAGGGAAAGGGCAGTGTTTGCTTAGTTTTGTATTTTCACAAAATATTGAAATGAGGGGTATTGCCCCATTGTCTGGGGAACATGTGCATTTCCAAGGTAGTCTATAAAAAAGTCCGAAGTAAACACTTGTGCCTTTGAAGCCTACAAAGCAACCCACAGTTCAAGAGCAGCCTCTCTGTTGCCCATTCTGAAAAACACTCTGAAATATTGTCTCAGGTTCTTTATTGAAAGTCAGCATGCCCCTCAGCTTCATCCTACTCTCCCACGCTCAGCCTCGTGACAGCAGTAAAAATGATTAGTTTTTGCTCTGTTATATTTAGGTGACAGTCTTGGACAATGAACTGTGTGTTACTGAATTCAGGGGCTTTCACCAAGTGTGTTGTATGGCCTATAGACGGCCCTGGAGATGGTGCCTGGACAATTCCCTTCTGTACAGTAGTTTATGACTGAAACACAACTGTAAGGATGTACCTGGCTGTGCTCATCACACCTGTGTCACATACAGCTGTGGAGCAGTGCAGTTGGTCATCATAGGAAATATGACATTCCTAAGATGCAGCATAAACCACTGTCAGGGTGGTGCAGTGTGTGTCCTCTGCAGCCTCATTGTGATGATCTCTGAAGCAAAGAGGTTATGGAATTTTAGGATCTGATAAGCCTTTTTGTGAGAAAAACTTTGGTTGTGACTCGTAATATGTTGCCTTGCTTTATGGAAGAGCTTTACACTCTTGAATATTGCACTCTCAAATTGGTTATATACTACTGTGCATGGTTAGTAGGCTTCCCCTACTTAGGAAGCCCCCATGAAGGAAGAGAGAACTATATTAACATGAACCCCTAACCTCTGACACTGTCAGTATGGCATCAGGTGAAAATGTTTCACAGAAATACCATATACTGCTCGTGTAATATTCTGACTGCCTTCTTACAGGAACAGCTTCCCACTGAAAGGTTTTCCTTGTCAGGGTGTGTGTGGTTGTGTTCTGACCTAATTGTTCTCTGGTGGTGGAGGGAGCTCTCAGAATATAAAGGTAACTTTAAAAGTCGTATGATACAGTGATTACTTTGTACCATCTTTTTGAACTCTTAATTCAAAATGCTTGGTGTGGAGAGACTGGATTGCTGGTGGTGTAAAAGAGAGATTAAAGAATGTGGAAGTAAGAATTTACTAAAATGACTTGGATAAGTTCCTCTTAGTATTTTACCTCACTAGCTCCCATCTTCTGCTTCTATGCCATAGTGGGAGAAGATCTGCATCCCCAGATCAGCATATGGATTTTTGTTCCAACAGTTCTATCTCATACGTTAATAGCAAGGAGATGGAGATAAAATACAGTGCTGTGCTGAGCTGAGGAGTGTGTACTTTGTGCTCTATCTGCTGCCTTATACAATGGATTTTTCTCTATCATGTAACCCCATCCTGGAAGAGGTGATTTGATTGCAGCAAGGTTGCAACTACCTTCAGAAAGCATCCTGGCCAAGGCTAATCTTGGATTAGTGCTGGAGTGTGCTAGTTAATATAATGTTAAAAGCAATGTAAGAACTGAGATAATTGATTAAAAGAGTTTGTATATTATTATTGCATGGTAAATCTCAAATTGTACCTCTTTTTAAAAAGTGCAGGCTTGGGCAACTAGGGCTCTTTTTGTTTGCATAGAAATATAGATGCTTAGCATAAACAAATATACCAGATTTCTAATACTCAAAAGTCTTGTGTTCTTGTTGTAGACTATCAGGAGAGAAAAAAAAACAAAATCCAGATGAATTGATAATCCCTTTTCTCTTTTTGAATACTTTTAGTTAAGCATTATGTTATTTTTCCTACAAGGCTTGCAGCCGTAGCTGGCAGTCTTCTCTCTGTTAGTCTCTGTGGTTTGCTTTCCTATTTCCTATACATTTTTTAGCTGCTGGGTGGATGCTATTATGGCACATCCAACCTTTGGTATAAATAATTTATTCTGAAGGTTCAGTATGTTATAACGTGCATGAAGCATCTTGCATTTATTTTTAATGCTTCTGCTTTCCTGAGAGCTTTCTACATCCAAAGCTACCATCAGAGAGAACTGTCAATCTTCCAGCAGAAGAGAGAAACTTTTAGACCATATCATTCTATTTTTCTAGCTATAAATCATACGCTTCTGGTGAAGAGTGGAGCAAACGGTTATTATTTACCATTTTGAAGAACTTGGCTTGGATGATGTGAAAATGTCTGTTTGCATTTGGTGTGAAGTCTCTGAAAGTGACTCTTTGTGCCCATAAGCATGTGAACTGTGCACCAATCCCTTGTGGGAGGCCGGTGAAATCAGGGAAATCCTGAAGGGCAATTGGGTGACTGATAGATGTGAGTGCTAAAAACATAAAAAGAGATCTAGCTGGGGCAGCAGTAGCCAGGTGTGGCTTGCTACCAGAGCACACCCAGGGGATGAACCTACCCCATATGACCGAGGGAGAGATGGTTCAGTCCAATGGGGAAAGGGGAGCTGATCCCTGCAGTAGTGGTGAGGATGGTCATAGCTATCCATGCAGACAAATTACTGTTTGCTCCCTTCTTTCCTTCATGGTTCCTTCATAAACTTCAGCCAGTACCATAAGCTAGGATTTACAAAGGTTCAGGAATTATATTTTAGATAGGCATTATTTAACAGAAACATTAATGGTGATGGGAGACTGTTCTTTTTTGGGGGGAAGAGGAGGGGAGGGACAGGGGGTTGGCAGGGTTTTTGTAGATATTAGAAGCTTGTTTGGCATATGATCCTTGAATTTATTCTGATTTAACACTAAAATTATGTTCTGATTTAAAACTAAGCAAATTTGCCTTATGTGAGATGTGTCAAACATGTTAGTTAAATTAATATCTACCTTGTCTACAGATAACACAGAGAAAGGCACAGGAGTGCAAGAGACATGGTTGCTAGTAACTTCCCCTGAAAACTGGGGCCTGATGCTCTTTAGTGTTTCTATTGACATGCTAGACAGTGATATCATCTTGTGATTTGCAGACTTTCTCAGGAAAGAGGACTGGTAATAGAGCGAATAATGTCCAAGAGAGATTGAAAGAGGATGTGAAACTTCTGGAGTGAAATCAATGGACAGATTCAACAATGATAAAAGGAAATGTTCCGTACATGCTCATTTAGCATGTGCAGAGACTTAACCATTTGTTAGCCTTTTAAGAGGCTTGTGTAATATGATGCAGTGAAACTGGAATTGAGCCTTTGGTAGTTTATAACAGATTTTTGAACCATTTGCATGTACAAGTCTCTTCAATGACAACATTAGAAGGGGACTTCATGGCTGAAAATCAGTCCTAAAAGATGGAAAGTGCTATGACAGCAACTGTTACAAGGTATATCACAGTTCAGTAGCTGGAAGGTGAAGTTGAACTAATTCAATTTCAGCCTAAGAGGGAGCTTTCTAGGCACAAGGAAGGAGAAGGAACAAAGAAGGCACTTCACAGGAACAGGATAATTAAATGCTGAAACAGTTTACCTGATGAGTGGACACAAAAAGTCTTTCAAATTCATTCCACAAAGAATTTTAGTCTGTACTGACTGTGTAGATTATTGAGGAAGAAAAAATTTTCTGCTTCGGTATCAGTGTGTTTTGGTTTTGTGTTCTGCTAGTTACTGTATCTTGTACTTCAGTCGATTTTCTACAGGCCTTAAAGAGTGTGGGTTAAAATTTTTTCATTAAAAAATGAATTTTTTTTTTTTTCTCTTCTTAAGTGCACAACTAGAGAGAGGTAATCAGAGCTGGAAAGAGGCCAGAACCCCAAATGTGGATGCCTATGGATGGGTGCAGCTCAGTCCATTCTTGTTTCATAATTCTTACCTTCCTAAGAATGATGGTATTTCTGGTGCATGTCCAGGACCAAACTCTAATCTATTTTAATGAGAGTTTTTGGGTCGGTGAATGGGCTGTGCTTTTCAGCAGATCAGATTATACAATGTAATGGTCTTTTCAGGTCTTAACATTAACAAATATATCTAGTTCAGCCCACACCAAGCACTGCTGTGCTTGTGTTGTTAAATTGCATTGACTAGTACTAACACATTTCATGAAAATGTCAGTGCTGAGCAGTACCATGAACTAATGAAGTTGCATTGGAGTTAAAGGTGTTACATCCACTTAAATTAGTTGAGAATTTGGTCTGCAGCATATGACATCTAACATGGTATTGAAAAACTAAAATTCTCAAGCAGTGAGTGTTATAGGATCATAACTGTGTTCCCCCTAAAACAACAAATTCAAGTACTCTGCCAGGACTCCTTAAAAAAAAAAAAATTCCACACAGAACTTTAAGTTTAATGACTTCTATACACTGTTTCTGCGAATACTGTTCTTGCCTTGACTTGGCTGAACTAGCAAATTGAAACTGGATTTTTTTTTCTTTAACCCTTCTGTAGACCAGGTCTAATTAATTCATAGATTTGTTGCTTTGTTTCTAAATTAACTTTGGTTTATTTACTCTGGACTTGTACTGGACTGAATGGAAACAGAATCAAGTCCATGGAGTTGAGCTTTATTTTTAGATATTTGTAGCTGGCTACAAACAGATTGTGAAAAATTAGGTAGAGAATGATATTTGAAAATGTGGAATTACTTTAAAGTTTTTTCTTTTTATTAAGCATTGTTTCCAGGAGATCAATCTTTTAATTACACTGTGCTTTCTTCCCAGTGATGAGAATGGATAACAGTAAGCCTGACAGCACTGACTACCGTCTTCTCTGCAGCATGTGAATACTATGAAATGTGGTGGTTCCAATATATAATGCTTTTATTCACTGACTGCATACTTCTCTAAGTGTATCAGTACTTTCTAAATATACCAAATGACTTACCACTTGGAACCCATTTTCCTATGCCTGCAAAGCCACTAGCAGTCTAAGTCAAAAATGAACTATTCTGCTAGTCCTTTGCTTTCTGTGTATTTGCTGTGCTTTACTTGCCTCTGGCAAGTTACAAATGAGAGTAAGAAACAGGACTTTTTGAGAGAAAACAAGCCACTGCCTTATAAAAAAGGAACAGTATATAGTCTGGATAAATAGTTCTTCCCATGCTGAGTTAAATACACCTGCAGTCCTGCACAAGCCATTTGTAGCACATTATGGGCTTGATTTTTCCTTTGCTGTGCTGCAATGATTTTGTTCAAGTCCATGGGCCTGGTTTTGTAAAACACAAATCTCCAAGTCTACCTGCTAGCACTGCCTGCTAGCTGCCTGCCAGCTTTGATTTGGGAGCAGTTTGGAGACCAGAGCATGCCCAGTAGCTGTCAGTGAACAGTCATGCCTAAAAACTCTATCACTGTGGCAGTATAAAACTTCCTTATGTTCTGTCACTGGGTAGTATGCAATGGTGTGAGGTTCACTGGTGCCATGATCAGTGAGTTGTACAAGTGTGATTATGGAGTACACACTGATAAATCCAAGCCACTCCTTTATAGGCTGCCTGCCTTTATGGGTACCACAGCTGTTATGGATACCAAAGTTGTAATGAGTGATCATACACAATGGTACAGTACAAACCTACTGGTTAGGTACTAGCTTTGGTGGTGGGATTAAGTTTCTGGAAAGAATAACCTTTCTAGAA